ATGTCTCCACTCCCTCCTTCCTCCAATTTATTTTTCTTACTGCTACCAGGTGAATCTTATGCATAGAACTGTCATGTCACTTCTCTGCTCAAAAATCCACAGTGGCTCCCTATTGTTTATTGAGTAAAGTTTCGACTCTTTTGTCTTCCATTCAAGGCTCTACCTGCCTCCTCTAAAGTTCAATGTAAATGCCACCTTCTTTCCTGATCTCTCACCGTAACATGTGTGGGGATGAGAGGAGGGAATAATGCTTTGTCTCTCTGTAATACATTTATCAAGTTTTATTTTGCATTGTCACATCTGTAAACTCCAGGAGGGAAGGGATCATGTCTTACTTAATTTGTATCTCCCTTTTATGTGATACAGAGCAGTACCACAATACCCACAGTAGGTGCTTATTACATGTTTATTGAATTGAATGGAGACAGAGACTGGCAATTCTGCCTACCCTGGCTTTTCAGTGTTGTTTTTTATGTGGATCAGACCCCCGTAGTTTAGTCACTTGATTTCCTGGTCTTTCTGTTATTCTCCCACCAGTCACAGGACACTTCACTTTGATGTGATGCTTTCTCTGCCAGCATCATGATACCTTTTAAGATTAGAAGTAGCTGGCCCACACTTGGGGATGGAACTGAGACACTCTCCCCTGTGCCATGTTTTGGCCTCTTTCTGGCAACCGTGTGCCCATTAAGGGATCATTTTAAAGTTGGTTATCAATACCGTGACATTGGCATCCTTGGGTGTGGCACCTTGGCTGGTTGCCCTGACCCCTATCCTTTGGGCAAGAGAAGACCAGGTGCCCAAGGTTGAGTCATTCAGAAAGGATATATTATTTAGCCATTGAATGGAGTCTTTCAATGTATCACATATACACACACACATACATACATACATATATACATACATACATACATACATACACACATACATAGACTACCTCAGTCCCCTAAGGTCCTTGCTATTCTGTGACCTCCAGGTCTGTATTACCTTACTGGAGAGAACACCTAATACCAAAGTCCTCTTGTTCCTTTAGTAATAGAACTATACCAGCACGACTTTTCCCATAAATAAGCAGGCTGACCCTCTGCTCTCTGGTGACTAGGGCCTTGCTGCGTAGAGTTCTGGTGCCTGACTACGTGGGACTTTGCATGAAATCAAGTGGGCCAGAAGTTAGGTCACTCTAGGTTTTCTGGGATGTATCTCTGTCCTTGAATTGTTGCCCAATTCTTAAAAAGGCAGATTAAGTTCTTTGGGGAAGAGCCTGAGGGGAACTTTGATGCCAACCCCTGGGGCAGAAAAGAAAAAAGAGCCAGAGGGTGAACAGTTCATGGATATTTGGAAAGCAGAAAAGAGGGAACACAGAGAACTGAACTGTAGACTCTTCTTCTCCTATTGAGCTGGACCCTTGGGAGTCCTCTGGGTACTAGCCTAAATCCAAGGCCTCCTGGGCCAGCACTGCTTACCGACCTCCTCAGCAAAAGGAGGAGAGTTAAAAGGTTTGGTGGGATCTCTTCACTGAATCTAATGGTGTTCTCTCTCTCTCTCTCTCTCTCTCTCTTCTCTCTCTCTCTCTCTCTCTCTCTCTGTTCCTCCCTCCCTTCTCTCTTTCTCCCTCTCTTCCTTCCTGACCTTTTCTCCTCTCTTTCGCTCTAGCTCATACTCCTTCCTTTATTGAAGCCCATCCCAGGCCTGCTTTCTTCACATCTCCCTCCTCCCTCCCAGCTTCTTCCACCACAACTCCACTTCTACCTTTCTGGCAGCCTTTTCATTCCTTCCATTTCTCTGGCCCAGCAACTGCCTCTCTGGCCACCTCTCATCCTCACTTTCCCCACAGCACCATAGGATGCTGCTTTCCATGTCTGGAAAGCTCCACCGTTGAGCCCTCCTGAAGCACACACAACAGGCCTGGCTTGGCTGGGCCAATAACCCCTCCCCCAAAATGGCCTGTATTGATCTAGTCCCACTCTTTTTCTCTCCTTTCTTTCCTTTCCTGTTCTTTTTGTTCCATTAAATTCTCCTTCTGTCTCCTTTCACTCCTTCCTCCCCCTCTTCAATTCATCCTTCCTCCTCCTCTCTTTCTTCTCTTATTCCTCTTCCTCTTCCCTTCCTCATCCTCCTCCTGTTTCCCTTTCTCCTCTTTGCAGTTAGATTCTGCCGCTGTTTTTCCTCCTCCTCCCCCCACCCCCCACCTTTGCTGGCTCTGTAACCCGTCTCATCACCAGGGCCTGAGTTTACAAAAAAAAATAAATAAATAAAAAGGTCAGTGTGTGGAGGGAGCAGCAATAACCCCTAAAACAGTACTATCAGTGGAACATGATTGATCAATTGAATTCCATAGCGGCTGAAAAATGTGGGATTAAGTAGTGTATTATACGCACAATGAGTTGAGGCATGATGTTCATTTCAAGTTCATTTCGCCGGCCTCTGCCACCAGATCAGGCAATCAATAGGGGCAGCAGATATCATATATCACCTCTCTGCGGGCTGGGGAGAGAGCACCATAATCTCTCGCAAATTTAGAGTGACAGATTTGTCAAGATCTGAAGGGCCCCTGAATAAATGAAGGAAGAGAGACTCCTCCAGCCAGTGACCTGAGGACAAAGCTGCAGTTCAACCCTTACACAAGCACACACACACAGACACAGAATGCTACAGCTGTACATATGCCCCCACATACATGCATGCACTCATATGCACACACAGAGGCATGCATGGCTATATGCACCCACTCCAAGGCTTGCACATGCCCAATTCCCTGGAAATCCCTTCACAGCACTTCAGCAGCCCCACACACAGACACACAGAGACATTACTTCAGCCCTGCCAGCACAGCCTGGAGCAACTCGATGTGGCTTTTCTGGGAGGTGCACTCAGAGGCAGGAGGACTCCATGAAAGGTGGGGGATTCAGTGAGACATGCAAAGGGACACCCAGATTCAGATACCAGTGATGCCCCCATCCCATAAGGGCTCACCTCCCTCTCTCACTCTTTCCCCGCCCCCTCGCCCCGTGTCTGTGTCTCTGTCTCTGTGTCTCTCTGTATCTCTCTCATTCACACACAAACACATACACATATACACATTTACCACAGCGTCTTCACAAATAGACATACAGATGCACTCCACCCAGGCCATTTACACACACTGAAATGCACTTACCCCGTTGCCTATGGGCACATACTGTATGCATACAATGATATACAAACATCCATATGTAAACATACACAAATACGATACAAATAGAAAAAATGAGGATACTATGCCACCAGGAAAAGCCATGAGTTGGGGAGCCAATATTCCCAGCTCAGTACCTAACTCACTCTGCGACGTTGACATAACCTCTCTGGGTCAATTTTATGGTTCTAAGGCTCTGAGGCTCAAGAGAGGCAAACTGTCAAGACTTTTGAGGGTGGGCAGGCGTGTCCCAGAGCCACCTTTCACATCTCTTTCACACACTTATTCTTGTGCTGTACGTGGATATATCTGTGTTTTTCTCCCACAAACCTATACACACACCTATCCTCTTCCCCATATATGTGTATACACATGCCATAGACTCTCCCTCTGCCCCTTTCATTTCTCTCCTCTCTTTCCTTCTCACTTGATGTCTCTCCCCTACTCTTTATTCTCTTGTTTCTTTCTTTCTTTCCTGCCTTCCTTCCTTCCTTTCTTAATCTTTTTCTTCCTTCCTTCTTTCCTTTCTTCCTTTCTTTCTTTCTTTTTCCTTCTTTCTTTCTTCCTCCCTCCCTTCCTTTTTTTCTTTCTTACTCCCATTCTCTCTTTCTCTCTCCTTCTCTCTCTGCCCCCCCTCCCCTTCTCCCCAGCCCCCCTTCTCTCTCTCTTTCTCTCACACACAATGGCTGCAGGTTGAGGTTAATCAATATGTAATATTTTCTATGGTCTCACGAATGATACTGTACCGCGTTACTGTATATAATGCAATATTGATTATATCATATCATATAATCACCTATAAACTGATATATATAACATCCCTGTGCTTTTGGCGTGGCCCTGGCTGTGGGCCCAGTCCTAGTCCCAGGGCTCTGCCAGAGGAGTTGAGTGTAGCAAAGTCAAAGACCCCCAGGGTTGGGGCTGGGGTTGGGACTCGACAGGAGAAATACAGGATAAGGAATCCAAAGGAAGAATCAGAGCAGGGCTACCCTTAGTAGGGTTTTTTTTTTTGCAGACCTGACTTGAGCTCCCCTGACTGGGAAGGAGATAACTGGAGAGCCAAGCACCCATCTGTTTCCCAAAATGGGACCTGAGGTCCCATTGAAGAAAGGCCTAAGCTACAGCACAGCCTGGCAGCTGGGGAGCACCAGGCTGTGGGATGGGCTTTGACCATAGAGAAGAGGGTTGCTGACAATAGAAGTCTCTGTTTCTAGTTTCCACCTCTCCCCACTGCAACCCCTGCTTACAGGTTACCTGCCCTCCTTGGCCCCCACCCCAACTCCCTAAGCCTTTGCTCTCAGAACTCCTCCTCCCTTCCTGGTGGAGTTAATTGTTTTACTCAGTTACCATGTTACATTCAGCCACAGAGAGTTGGTGATTTTCTACCCTTGGGAATCGGTGGAATTGAGACTCATCTCTGAGCCAACCTTGATTCTCCACAGGCTTCGTGTTGTGGGCCTGAGTTGTAAATCCAGCTTCTCCCTTGAAAAAGGCCTAGCCTCTGGGAATAGAGCTCATTCCTGGGAAGCTTCTTTGGTCTGTTCTCAGCATCCTTCCCTGATTCCCAAGCTTTCACCAGTTTTATTTCCTCTTTCCATCCTAGTCTTTCCAAAGACAAATCCCTTAAGCACTGCCTCTATCCTCATGGTCCTTGGTTCTGTCATTCCTGGCTCCTCTCCATCACAGAAGCTGAGAACTGGCCAGGGTCAAGGGATGGCAGCAATATGGCCCGAGTCCTGGGGCAAACCTGAGCATCCCCTTTGCCCACACATTTCCCCCTCTGGCTTCTTAGTCTAGCACTGATGCCCCTGTACTGTATATCCTCCAGATGTGTCTGAGGGCTCTGTCCCGAATGGAGACTCCCAGAGTGGTGTGGACAGTTTGCGGAAGCACTTGAGAGCGGATACCTTCACTCAGCAACAGCTGGAAGCTTTAGATCGGGTCTTTGAGCGTCCTTCCTATCCCGATGTTTTCCAGACATCAGAGCACATCAAATCGGAGCAGGTGAGGGGCATCCTAGCACCCAGGGCTTCAAGGGTGAAAGTCCTAAACTTAACCATACCAGCCTTCCCAGAATAGAGACACAAGACACACATGGGCATGCCCCATGTGACATGTATTGGTGTACAGCCTTGCGTGTTTGGCATGTGCATACACTCTGGCAGGAAGGAACTCACTATTCTATGGTACCCTAGGTCACATCTCCTACCCCTGACTTTGACTTCATCTCTCCCTGGAGTCCTTCAGGAAACCTGTTCAGGCCTCTAAACCCTTCTACAGTGTGGAGGGCTTTAGCACTTGGAAAGATAACTCACCTTGAGTTTCTTCAGCATCCAAGCTATCTGTCACCTGCTCCACAGCCTAGACTTCCCAAGGTGACCCCAAGGCCAGCCTGAGCTGGAAGCCAGGAAACCTTCAGCTGTTCCCATCATATCAGAGGGCCAGACTGGGGGCTGCTTCCCCCCCAGCAGCATAGGGCATGCTTCTGAGGCAGGACAGGCACAAAAAACAGCCAGAGCTCCACAAACGTGCCTATGACCTAGGCGTTCAGCAGGGATTACATACACAGAATGCAAAATGCACCCACATAGCATCCAGTGTGCAGAATGCATAGATCATGCCCACATACACACAGACAAATAGCACATTGAGAACACATGCCACACACAGTACAGCCTGGCATAGGCCCAGATGCTCTGGACAGCACAGCTCAGCTTTGCTCTGAGGTCCCTTCAGCTCCCAGCTAGCTACTTGCCTTCCTCCCAGCCTGTCCTTTTATCCCATAAGCTGTTTGTCTTCATAAAACAAAAATCAAAAGTCTTTTTAAGGTGCCCCGAGCCATAAACCAACAAAGGAGTCTCAGGCTGCTCTGGGCCGGCTCCGTGAGCTCGCCCTGTCCCCGGCTGTATTACAATGAATAACCTTTATTTACTTTCATTACACTATTAAACACTAGCACAGTCATTTTTCCCCCTGAAACTCGGAGCAGGGCCCATAAAGCAAATCCAAAGCCTAATTGAGTTCATTTTAATTTCTCTCCGATCACAGCGAATTACTCTGGTGATAAATCAGGGGGCAGCTTCACCCCCAGTAGAAGGCCTAATTTGCAGCTAATTACAAAACTGATTTCTACAGGAAGATCAATACGAGAAGGAATTGGAAATGACGAGGCAATCCCGTCCAGCCAGGGAGGGGAAGGGGTCCACTGGGGGGGCCAGGAAGCGGAAGGGAAAAAAACAGACCCGAAAGAGCAGAAAATCAGTTTTAATTTAACGTAATATTAATCAGACCAACTTTTCCTGCTTTGTGCAGGCTCCCCCTTTGCCCAGCTCTGGGGTCTGGCTTGGCGGCTGCCGCAATAAAAAGGCAATTAGCCGCGTGTTTCGGGCAGGACACCCTTTCAGAGTCAATGACTGGCCCCCTCCCACCCTTCTGTTAGCCATGTGGACTCTCCCCCTCCCCAATTTCATACCCCAGTGCACAAGCAGAGAACAAGGGGGCCCGCTGAGCCCTCTTTGTTTGTTTTTAAAGAAGGGGAGCCCATACCCACTCAGAAAGTCAAGCTTTGCCAGGCAGGCAGACAGGCCTCAGGAACCTCCTTCCTCACCCCCAATATCCAGCACAGCCGGTACCTTTCCTCTTTCCTCCCTGATGCTCCCCACCCTTCCCCTCACCCTCTGAGTTGGGGAGGGGTGGAGGATGACCCAGGCCTTCCCACTCCTGCTCTTGTACAGCCCTTGGAAACTCAAAGTTGCCCCTGCCACCCCCACTCCCACTACCCCAGCAATAACTCAGTCTCTGCACATCCCTCTCCCTTGGGAAGCAGTCTTCCCCCCTCCCCCACAGTAGGGACACTTCATCTTCCTCTGAGACCTTCCCCTTTCCAGGCCTCCTCCTTCTTCCCCATCTGGGAGGACTCCCCTGTTCCTCCTCCCCATCTGCACCAGAATGGTCCCTTTCTCTTTCTCTCTCTCTTTCTCTCAGCACATCAATAGAGAGCTGTCGCTTTTCTCTCTCCTCCCAGGGGAATGAGTACTCCCTCCCGGCTCTGACCCCTGGGCTTGATGAAGTCAAATCAAGTCTATCTGCCTCGGCAAACCCTGACCTGGGGAGCAACGTGTCGGGAACCCAGACGTACCCCGTGGTCACCGGTAAGCCACCCACCTCAGCAAGGGAGGGTAATGGGGAGGGGTGGATGGCGTCTGGTTCATAAGTCATAGTATTTTTGTTATAGCATCTGAATCTGGATGTAAGAGGGAATTCATCAGTAAGTGGCATTGAAGGGGGAGGGAGGGATTATAACAAAGATACTCATCTTGGATGGGTAGGGAAAGAAGTAAGAGAAATTTGCTTCCTTTCTGTGTTCTGGGGCCCCTGAGTGCTTCTGAACTAGCTGGAGGAGGAGGGAAGTAACTTAAGGTACTTGCTATTTGTGTGACCTTGGGTAAGTCACTCTCCTCTAGCCTTCAGTTTCTTCATCTATAAAACAAGGAGAATGGATTGGACGGTCTCTTACGTCCCTTTCAGCTCTACCGATCCATGACTCTATACCTAGGCCTGGTGCCGGGAGCCAATGCTGCTTATTCTCATTTCCAGATCACCCACCTCTCTCTTAGCTCCTCTTTCACAGTTACCATTTCACCCAACATGTAGTAGTGATGGAGCTTTGGCTGAGTCTACAGCAAATGTGGATGGGGGTGGGAATGTCCACCCTGGGGAGAGTGGATCCCAAAGGCATTTGGTACCCCATCCTCTGCCAGGTTTTAGGTGCTAACATAGTTCTCTGTAAACAGTATAGATATATTTTATATATAGATATATGTACATGGAGAGAGAGAGAACTTACTGTGGGCCGGCACTGTGCTAAGTGATTTGCAATTATTATTTCATTTGATCCAAACAGCAAACTTAGGAGGTAGGTGTGCTGTTATTATTATTTCCATTTTACGGATGAGCAAACTGAGGCAAACAGAGGTTAAGTGATTGCCCAGGGTCGCACAGCTAAATGTCTGAGGTTGGATTTGAATTCAGGTCTTCTTGACTCCAGGCCCAGCGCTCTATCCACTTCAACACCTAGCTCCCCAAGCACTTCACAAGTGTTTGTTGAATCAGTTCTGTGGCCCCTGCCCTATTTCTCCTTGTTGTGGTGGTACCTAGGCAGGGCAAGGGAACACGAACGACCATGACTGCAGAGGACTGGGGAGGGAGGCCAGGTACCACCAGCCTTCCAGTCCTTCTTCTGCCCAGCAGGACAGTCAGATGATCATCACATCCTCTCCTGGAGCCCTACATATCGCTATTGGCCAGGCTGTAGGCAAGGCAATTCTGGCATCAGCATGGGCAGGATGGGCTCCTTTCATATCTTATGGGCAACTGACTCCATGCTACAAACACTTGTTAATTATTGGCATGTGTAAGGCACCAGGCTTGGCATCAGAGATGTAAACATAGACAAGATGTAGAACCTATTTTCTGAAGTGGGACAAAAAGCAAGTACACAAGTAACTAACACACAGGAGTGTAAGATAGGTCAAAGCACAAATTCTGGCAAAAGGCGATGAAACATTTTGTAAAGAGACGTGTCATTTTCAGCTGGGGGTGCCATCAGGGAAAGCTTTCTGAAAGATGGAGGGGAAGGGCTTCATCAGAAAGCGAGGCCTGCAAGTCCATTTCTGTGCCTGGGAGACAGCTTGGACAATGGCGTGGATGTGGGAGAAGGTGAAACAAAAAATGGAGAGGGGCAAAAACATTGCAGAGAGTAGTTCACGTTGGGTAAAGCACGGAGTACAGGAAGGGAAGCAGGATAAGAAAAATCTGGAAATATGGGCTGGAATCACATAGCGGATAGCCTGGAATAGCAGAATCAGGGCTTTTTTTATATAGCACCTATTCTGTGCCAGGCATTGTGCTAAGTTCTTTACAAATACTATCTCAGTTGCTCCTCACAACAATCCTGGGAGATCGAGGCTATTATTACCCCATTTTACACTTGAGGAAACTGAGGCAGACAGCAGTTAAGTGACTTATTTGCCCAAGGTCACACAGCTAGTAAGTATCTGAGGCTGGATTTGAATTCAGATCTTCCTGACTCTAGGCCCAGGTCTATCTAATGTGCCACCCACCTGCCACACTTAGTAGACAATAGGGAATCAAATAAAGCTTTTGCGTAGAAGGGTTGCATGATCACAATGTCGCTTAGGGAGAGTCCTTGGGCAGGAATGTGAAGGATATACTGGATATATTGAAGAGCACGTAGCCTGAGGGAAGGAAGACCAGTCAAAAGACTATTTCAAGAGTCCAAGCAAGAAGACTAGATAAGTTGTAGTGGAAATGAAAGGAAGGATCAGATACAAATGATCGAGGATGAGGAAATAGAGTCAACAGGAGCGGGCTGATGATTGGATGTGAAGGAGAGAAAAGTCGAAGATGAGTCCAGTTCTGAGCCTTCCTGGATTAGAAGGATGGTAGAGCCAGTCACAGAGATAGCTGAGCTAAGGGCAAGGGCAAGATGAGTACTTCAATTCTGGACACATTGAGTCTGAGGTCAGGATATCCAAGTAAAGGTATGTAGCAGGCAGTTGAAAACAGAAGACTAGAGCTGTGGGAAGAAATGAAGGGTGAAGACAGAGACTGAAGAGTCATTTACATAGAGGTGAGAATTGAAGGCCTGGGAGTAGATGAAATCACCAGGGACAGAATGTGCAGAGAGAAGAGGGCCAAGGATAGAACCCTGGGAGGCCCTCTTGGGAAGGGGTGGGAGGAAGTAGCAATGAGGAAAGAGAAGGAACAAGCCAGAGAAGTAGGAGCTATGGTGGGGTGGGCTGAGTTGGGGGCAGTAGCAGGGTGGGCTGTGGCTGAGTGAAAGGCCCAGTTCTGCAGAAGCTCCTGGTTGCCCCGCAGAAGGTGCCTGGCACTGCAGAACAGTTTCCGGGCCAGGAAAGTGCCCAAGTGTGAGAGACACACATTGAGGTGTTATTAAAATTCACCTAATTATTCTGGAGACACTAAAGCCAATGTGCCGTTCATTGGGAGACAGGATGATTGAGAACGGCCGCGGTGGGGATTGGGAGACACTGAGGCGTTACCCGCCAAGCGAGGAATGGAGGCGGCATGGGGACCTGGCAGAGGGGCTGCAGGCGCTCTGCGTCACAGCCAGCAGCATCGGCAGGGGGCAGGCATCAGAGCCCCTGCTGAGTAGAGCAGGCCCCCAATCCTGGCCAAGAATAGTGGAAGTGGGGAGTGGAGGGGAGGGGGCATTGTTGATGGCTAAGATCCTGGGATGGAAGGATGTGCCTGCCCCGTAGCATAAGGGGCAGGGCTAGGTCTAGCCTTAGCCCGCTATCTAGGGAGTCTAAATAGCAGCTTTTCCTTGTCTTCCATCAGATGGTGATTAGGACCACTATTTTGCTGCCCTTCTGCTGGGCACAGAGGCAGTCATGCAGCTGAAGTTTTGGGGGCTAGAGCCTGTCAAAAGTCAGTAGGCCCAGGGGCGGCTCAAAGAACCTGACTCTTGAAAGCCAATTGTTAAGGAGGTGACAGAGTAGCCTAGGATAGAATGTGGCTTCTCCCAGAACAAATGTTCAGTCAAGTGCTTAGGAGCCTGACCTTAGAGTTTCCCTAGGCCAATCTGACCTGATGAAGCAGCTGGCAGAAGCAGCTGGCACAGACTGAGATATGGTATTGTAACTATCTCCAAACTGGAACTCCCCAAGGAGATGGCAGAGGAGAAGTTAGGAGGTCTTCCCTTTTCCTGACTGGGCCACCAAACCACCAAGGGACTGCCTGAGTCAGGGATGTGGCTCTGGGTTCAGGGGGCTCCCACTGCAGGAGAAGCACTTGGCTGATACAGAAAGTGCCTCCACCTTCCGTGGTTCTCCACCCCCACCCCTCCCACCCCCAATGGCCCTGGAACAGTCCCAGCTCAGCCTGGGAACATCTCCGGCTGATCCATCTGGATCCAAGTGTGAGAAAGTTCATTTCAGACCCAGCTTGACATTCCCAGGTGGCAAGTTAGCACTAACATCTCAATCTGTATGCGACATTTCAATCAAGCGAGAAGTAACAAAAGCAGAACCATTAACATTCGGAGCTGTTCACCAGTGGTAATGACGGGGAAACTCGCTCCGAAACTGGAAATTACCAAAAAGAGAGAAGTGGGGGTGGGGTGGGGAAGGAGAGAGCATGAGGAGGGGGCAGAGAAGGGGGATGATTTTTCTACACTTAGGCCAAGATCCAATGTTTGGATTAATGGCGCCATTACCCGAGAAAGGGCTGCAGATTACGCTCATTCTTAAAATGTTTTTGCTGGCAATTAAACGGCTGCAGTTATTGATCTTTGTTGATTTTATGTCCTCCTGATTTGCATAATCTATTAAAGATGAATGATTCATGATGTGTTTATTATGGGGACAAGCAGAGTCTGCTGGAGGTGCTGTCAAGGTGAGAACCTAGGTTCTGTTCAGGTCTTCACCGGCCATCTCAGAGCTTGCTCCCCTAAAGGTCTCTGGCCTGCCTGCCCCCCACCAATCTTCACCTCCTTGGGAATCTGTGGTTAGAGAGGGGAGCTAGGGATTGGGAGTATTGTGTCTTAGATAGAGTCCCTGCTTTCTTCCCATTTTTTTGTTAAGTGTGTTGCTGGGAGATGTCAAAGCTAGGCTCTGAGTATCTCTAGGGTTAAATAAGGTTAGGGTGAAAGGACCAAGGGGCACAAGCCAGGGGAGGAGGAGGAGGTCTGGGAAAGGTTCTTAGTGTCTTTACAAACCCTGATGAAAGATTCTTGAGAGTTTTGCTTTGTTGGAGAGAATTAAAGGCTTTGGGGGAGGGGAGAAGTAGAGAGGGAAAGGGGGGAGGGCAGGCCCTCCCAGGAACCAGCCAGCCAGGTGTATGCTAGAGATAATTTGGAAGCCTGCGTAGGGCCTAGACTTGTTACAGGGGACATCCTGCAGCCTTTCCTTCCTTGGAACACTTTGGGGACCAGCTCTAAGTAAAACGGCCCAGCAGGAAGCTCGGTGCAGTTAAGAGGGCTTGGTATGAGGAATATTCCTACTGCATCCTGGTAAGGAGGAGATTGATTTCAAACTTAACCAGCCACTTGATGCAGTTATTCCACAAGGACAGTGTTAAAAGAGGGAAGTCTTTGGAGAGAGAGAGA